GAAAAGTGATCTATAAATAAAAGGTATTATTTAAAAAAATATATTATAAACAAAAATTTACAATTTGAAAAGGATCACTGGGCGACAGGCTTTGTTTTAGTCCAAAAAATGTTAATAATAATAATAAAAATCTTGATTAAATTGTTCTCACCCTGGGTAAACTGTGCAGAGCACGGCAGTGATTATATTCCTGATCCAACTGCATGTGAAGGATTTTTCTCACCCTGAGGTGAAATCCTAGAACGTCCCAGAACCCTAGAAGTCATCATCACACTCTTTTGAGTGCTGGCTTGAACCGCCGAGGCAGCACAGGGGTCACCAAGTACGGGTACGAGTGTGTCTCTGACCTCCGTTTTAGCTGAAGCGGTTTGCCTCACCTCCTCTCCAGCAGGCCTCGAAGCATGATTGCATGTTGCTTTTTAATTAGAGCGACAAAAGTGAAGGCGTTCGCCGAGATGCCATCGCATTGTTGGCGTTTTCATCCTCGTCCTGTGATCGTATGAGCCCGGCTCTTTCGCTAAATGACGATAAAGCCCCGTTTCCATGCTCTCCCATAATTAATCCATCTCCAGCTCCACCGTTATCGCCTCCCCGAGCCTGAATGGCAGTGGATCCTCTTCCTCACACGGAGCTTTTATTGACGTGCTCCATAAAGGAGAGGTGGAAATCCTTCCATTTGAGTCACAGATTGTTCAGCAGATCAGCGCCGCGCCAATCTTGGCATCTATAATGTGGCAATGCATGGAAATAAATGGTGCAATCTGCTTGCAAAAGCATCAGCAATGGAATGCTAGCTAGGCTTTGGTGGCATGTGCTTTCTTATGTATGTATATATTTATTTATTTATTTATTTTCCTGGGTAGAGAAATTACCATGCATTTGCATCACATTAAAGATGTCTATTCAACGCACAAGAGTTTTGCTCAATTTCGAAGCCTATTCAGGCCCGAGCTGGGTTGGAGGGTGCTGGGTGAAATATGGAGGATGCTTTAAAAGCCGGCATCCTATTTGTCTCCAATCAAATCTGAGTAATATGCTGCATGGCTAAAGGTTGGACTTTAACCCTTAGAAACCTAAAACTTCGGGGAATTGTTTAGTATTTTTTGAGTCATTTACAATTACAATTGCAATTATACAGTATCTACATGTGACAGTCACACAGGCCACATGTTGTTATTTTCAGGAGACCCTGGGCTGCTCAGATATGCCATTGTTTGCCATGTAAATGCTGACAGAAATGTGATATCTTTATGAATTTGAGTCATTTCTGATCAAAAATGTACCTAGCGCCTGCTAAATTGTGTATTTTTTTAATTAAACAGATCTTAAGTAGTGCAGTCGTAGTTATCTTTTCAGAAATTGTTAGTCTGGAGTGTCTGTGAGCTGAAAGTGCAATAATTTTGCTTTTTATTGATTATGATGGTGATTCATTCTGTTGGTTGTTATGAGTAAAAATAAACAATTAGCATAAGGTGGACATGTTTTTTATTGATCTTCTGTCCTCTTGGATTCAAGCTGAGTCCTAAAACTTTATTTTTACAAATTGAGTTGCATATTTAATATCAGATATTTTTAATACTCAAAATCAATGTGAACTGAAAGCTCTTTGTTTATAATATGAAGGCTAAAAGCAGAGATGTGATATATCAGTAGTGAGTGGGATTTGGGTGATTTTGGAGCTGGATTGCTGGCTGATGGACGGTCACAGGTGGATGAAATCACTCTGGATGGTGAGACAGAGTCTGATGAGTGATCTGATGAGTGAATCATGTCACTGTTTTAACCCTGGTCAAACATCAGAGCAATAACATCAGGATTTTAGGTGATTTTCCAAGCCAAATTACTCGCTGATGCTGACGCCACAGCTCAATGACGTCATGCTTGCTAGTTAGGGGCGGGTCTGCTGAATGTACTGATATGTGGATAATGTTTGCATCTTAAACTGTTCTGATGTTATGAAGGCTAGAAGTGACCTACCGTTTTGCGGTCTCCGGGTCCTGAGGATTAAACTGGTCTGCTTCATATACAGAGCAATACGGCTCATATTCATAACTATTTGCAGTGTGTGCTGAGGTTAAAAGTTCGAGGTGCCGGGGTTCATGTACTACATCTCATCACACACTGCAAAAACATAAATCTTCATCTGATAAAAATAATATTATATATCATTATTGTGATAAATTAAGTCACAATACAATATGCTTTTCTGAACATATTGTGTGTGTCTTCACTACTAGAACACTGACCAGCTGCATGTTTAATTGTAAAAAGAGCAATACTAGTCCTGATTAACTGGATTTGGGGCCAAATATTGAATAAAAATCACAGTGTTCACTGTTTCTGATAGTATTTTTTTAAATGTAGCACGACTGGCTGTTTTTTCTTGAAGTATTGCAATATTATATTTTTGCCATATCGCCCAGCTCTGCTTAAATCTAGTGGATATATCTAATATTTCTCATTTTAATCCTGTTGTAAGAATAACATTAATTTAACTTATTTTCAGACATTGTTTTATTCGTTTTATGTAATTTTGTTAAGTGAAATTATTGCCCAATATTGATATTTTCCTTATATCTTTTAAAACTCAGCAATCTTGAAATTAAAAATATTAGGTATGTTGAATAGTTGATTAAGATGATTTCACTAGCCGAGACACAGCCGTATTCACCCCCAGAGCACATTTAAATAAGGCATTTTTTGCAAATTTAAGAGCACAGTTTCAATTTATTTGCTGAGTTTAACATATTGGGAAAAATTAATCATGTGCCATAATTTTTGCACAGGCCACATTTCATGTTCAAACACTTCGAGCAGCCAGTAGCTGAACAACAAGCATGGACAAACCAAAGGTGGTGCTCACTTACATTAGACTGATGGAAGCGGTGTGAAATTTTCAGATGTCTTTACAGTGGTGGTGATAGGAACCAGGGGTCGCCATGACTACAACAAAAATACAGACATTTTATTTACTATCCAGAACCACCAGTGAACCTACATGAGTCTTCTGAGTTTATATGGAATGTTGATGATGGGGGACTATTTTGCCTCACAACATCCTGCATGTATCCCTCCACCATGAACAACCTTTAAGAAATACATTTTAGGCTAAAATCTTCTTAAAACTATATCATAAACAGTGTTTCAGTCATCAGGCAGTGAATTCATAACCATTTCATGTAGTAACTTTCTGTGAGGGAGCTTTTAGAGGTGGACGTCTGGTTCCTATCACCACCACTGTGAACAGTTCTGACTCAGTAAAACATAATATTCATATCACACCGCTCTGAATGACTTTTTGAAAAATCAGTGGAATTCCCCTTTAAAAAGTGAGGCAATGCTTGTTCCAGCTGGTCACTGACCAACGTTTGGTTGGGCCATGTTTATTCTAGCTTACATTGCTTGGTTTACCTTTAGTAAAGGCAGTAAACCCCAGACTGCTCCAAGAATGCTTCATCCAAAGGTTGGGTCCTGTCTGTTGTGGCTGACTGCTTAAAATGATAAATAGTGTAAAAGAGAATTCAATTTTTTTCTGCATAATTAATTGTTTGAGACGTAAACAGAGTCGTTCAGAGTGTGTTTGGTGTGAAACGCTCTGTTCTAGAGAAACTTACAGAGTCAGAACTGTTCACAGTGGTGGTGATAGGAACCAGACGTCCACCTCTAAAAGATCCCTCACAGAAAGTTACTACATGAAATGGTTATGAATTCACTGCCTGATGACTGAGACAGTGAGTGTGTTTACATGCACTCAATAATCCAATCGTACACACTCACACAAATATATACATATAATATAAAAAAAATAAATAAATAAAAAAAAAAAATCCAATCATAATCGGATTTCTGCAGTTATCTGATTATTCAGATGATCATGTAAACAGCACACTCTGATTTATTACATCGGAGTAAGGTCCAGAAATCTGATTAAGAAATCTAATAAAGAGGCTGGATTTTAGCTCAGTAATCAGATTTCTCAGTGCATGTGAACTCTTACTCTGATTTCTTTCAGACTCCTCAGTCCGAGCATGTGCAAAAACAGACGGTGGTGCCGGAAATAAGCAGCAGCGTTGCTGCGAGACGTAACAAAAACACTTTTGGAGCGAAGCTGAAACCGACTACATGCTTGATGAAATGAAGGATTTAAATATTATAGATGACATCTGTTCATATTTTCAGGTAAAGCAGCGCGATGTTTGAAAAAAAGCTGCGGCATTAAGTTTGAGTTTTACGTTATGTTTACGTCACGTCTTCTTCTATGAGTTTATTGGCTGGCTGTAAAGCAGAAATCCGATTACTGTCTGACTCATGTAGACCTGGAGTTTCCCCATTATCTGATTACTCAAGTGTATATAAACACGTTGATCGGATTACTGACAAAATCTGATTTTCTGCAGTTATCGGACGATTAAGTGCATGATTATTACGTTTTATGATAGCTTTGAGAAGATTTTGGACTAAAAATCCATTCATGGTGGAGGGATACGTAATATGCAGGGCGCTGTGAGGCAAAATAGTCCCCAAAGAAAACTTATTATTTCAGATTTTCCACTATTTCCCATCATCAACATTCCATATAAACTCAGAAGACTCGTGTAGGTTCACTGGTGGTTCTGGATAGTAAATAAAATGTCTATATTTGTGTTGTAGTCATGGCGACCCCTGGTTCCCATCACCACCACTGTAAAGACATCTGAACCATTTCACACCAAACCACTCTGAATCTCTCTGTTCACATCTCAAACACCGCCAGAAATTTTGGAAAATTGGTGGAATTCCCCTTTAACAGCTCTCAAACTTCTCCCCTGCCGCTCCCAGTCCTGCTCCGTGCTCTCACTCCGAGCACGTGTCCAGCCCTCAGCCCGGAGGGCCTGCCAGCCTACGGCGCCCCGCGAGGCTCCCACTTCCCTCGCGCCACAACAAAAAGCAGCAGCGAAGAGCGCGCTGTCAGTCAGACAGCCAGTCAGTCCACGCGCAGCTGAGCCACCGCGCGGACTACAGGGGAGACCCTAAAGAGGGGGGTGGGCTGAAAACAAACACAGGAGGCAGAAATCAGCTGGCGTTTGGGGGTCTTAGCTGCCTCACGCGCGCTTAAAAGACGCTGACTTTTTTATTTTAATTTTTATTTTTTTTAGCTTTTTTTCTGTTTTTGGATGAAAAGCTTCAGCGCGACTCCACAGCTGGATTCAGAAAGAAGAGGAAACAGCTGCAGCAGAGATGTCCCGCAGAAAACAGAGCAAACCCCGGCAGTTCAAACGTGAGTTGTGATTTTAATAAAAGTCTCTTTTATTGTTTTATTTATAATTACATTTAGAGTTGGGTAAGGTGGTCAGTGCGCGTGCACGCGCGTGCAGATGTTATTGGCACGCTGGTTTCACATGAACAACTATATCACATTTTTAAAAAGTCAGCTTCTTATTCTCCAGGTTCATGTTCGAATTTTTCCGTTCCACCTTAAATGGTGCAGCAGTTACGTTGTGGCGCCTCGGGCGCCACAACGTAACTGCTGCACCATTTAAGGTGGAACGGAAAAATTCGAACATGAACCTGGCGAATACTTTTTTTTCTTGCACATGGATTATAAAACGAACTATTTACACATTGCAATCATTCATAGTGCAGATGTTCATCCATATTTGCCATTTTCAACAATTTTATGAACTATGTAGTCGTTTTTTTTCTTGCACGTGGCTTTTATTGCAACTATTTACGTCTGAAATTGTCTGTCGAGATGCTCAGTGCGCGTGCACAGTGCCTGCACTGTTTACAACTGATTTTTTTTTATTATTCTGGACTGTGCAACCGTTTACAAAATGACCCCAGTCCAGATGCATGGAGATTTTTCATGCGCGTGCACTGTTTACAAAATGCAGTCATTCATAGCTGGAGTTGTTATGAAGTACAGATGCATATTTTCCTCGCACGTGGCTTTTTGAACTCGACAGTTGAGGGGCTACAGGGTGTTTTTGTACATGCACACTTAAAAAAAGATGGTTCTTTAGTAAAAGCAGTGGTTCTGTTTATATCAGTGAGTTCTATATGTGGTTCTTCGCATGGTGAAAAAAGGGTTCTTGACATAGTAACAGAACAGGAACCTCTTCTGGTGCTGTGGAACCATGCACAGCATCAGTATGAGGGACTTTTTCACCATGCAAAGAGGTATTTGAGCATGCAAATGGTTGCATGTGGTTCTCTTTACTACAGAACCCTTTTAGAACCAAGTCTGAGCTGGAGCTATTTGCATGGTCTTTGCAACTATATCTGCATTTATTGGCCATTTGCACTCAGAGGTGTTTAGTGCAATGCTCAGACTTATTTGGTGCACGTTGGTTTTACGTGAGCACGTGCAGGGCTTCATGAGATTTTGATGCAGTGGCTTATTTGCACTGTTTACCTTTGCAGTGCAAATGTTTATGCATGAGGTTTTTACATATGCAATGCGATTGCAAACGTTTAGACGTGAGGTATTTTATTTATTGCACCTACGTTAAGTGCAAATGGTTAGAAGTTTTTGTTGCATGCGATTTTCCCCCCATTCGGTTCACGCGCGCGCTTAAATCAGGGCTGTGTTGTTGCACGAGCCCTTTTTTTCTGCTTTGCACGCAGTGATTTTTCTAAAAAGCGCCGAGTGCATTTAGAACAAACCTTATAGGGGGGGAAAATAGAGATGCAGGTTAAAATATAAAAGTCCCTTAAATGCTAACTGTGTGCATGTGCACTCAAAAATGCATGAATGCTAAAGCAAAGGGGAGGTGTTTAAAAAATACTGACACATTTTTAAAGAGTATTAATAATTATAGTAACAGCTTTGCTTGAAAATTGCACATTTATTTAATACAAGTAATGAAAACACATGCATAAAATAATAAACGCCTAATTAATTGTCTGTTCATGCAAAATAAGCTATCACTTAAAAAATATCCACTGTAAAAGCTACGGTGTGAGAATTGCAGCTTGTTTTGACAGTGCAGGCGCTTATGCATGTGCCATATATGCCAACAGGGATCAAGTTAAAGCGCAGTAATGGTGTAAATCCTGTTAACGTTCGCAATTTGCTGGTATATCTTGCTATGATCGAAGTGCATTCTCATGCAAAAGTAATGGTGTTTATTTCTAAATATATAGGTCTGTTTATATGGTCATTTCTTTGTTTTAAAGTGGTTAAAAGTGGATTTAAAGATATGAATAGTACAACAGAGCATAAAATAACCCCGGCTGGCATGGACGGCGTTCAGAGTTAGATGGTTATTACAGAGGACGAAAAGGTCAGCGCAGGGCGAGTCGTTTTTTTTTGTCTTTTTTTCTCCCCTCTCCTCTTTTTCCCCCCTTTTTTCTTCTCCCTCAAACATATTGCCCCTTATCTAAACCGGGCGATTCGCGATTCACCCTCTATTTTCATATTTTGCCTATTCCCATTCTCTGGGGTGTCCTCTGCGGCGGAGATAAAGAGCGAGTGCTGAAAGAGCTCCATTAATTTGCCCCGATGACTGGGCCGATAAGGGCAGATAATGGAGCTGATAAGCGCCGGGAAGATATACCATCAGACGTGCGATTATTACCATTAGAATTCAGGCCCTGCAATCTGCGGCGGGCTGATAATCCCCCCCCAGCCCCAGCCCCGCATGATAAGACAAAAAAATAGTCCGTCGTCTGCGTGCTCCCTTTATTAGGCCTCCTGGATATTCCGATAATATGGTGATAAATTATGTATTTCTCTACAGCCTCTGTTTTTCTTTTTTCGCTCCTATTGAAATCTCTCTCTCTCTCTCTCTCTCTCCCCCTTTCTTTCTTTACCTCGCTCTCTCTTTTTCTCTCTCCCTCTTTTTAACGGAGCGATAAGGAGGGTCGTTCGGGGTCATCTTTTCTGTCCCCCCCACCACCCCCCACAAAGTTCCAAGTGGGTTTTTATTGTAATAAGAGTTTGATCTGAGGGGCTGATAGGAAGGAGCCTCGGCTCCGTCTGTGTGCGCCTGTATCGTCGCTATCAGTTCTACATCACCCCAGTGAGCCGGACCAGCTGTTGTTCGCTCTTATCGAGCCCCCTACACCACCCCCCCTCCCACCACAGAGACAGTAAATTTGCGCAGATTGGTGGCGAGCGAGAGGCGCTTTTGCCAAATTTATGCCGCCGAGTTAAAAAATACAGTCTCCGCAGAGTGAAGCTGTAAAGGGGAGGAGCAGCTGCAGCAACTGTTTTCGCATCTTTACTGTAAAAACGATTTTAATAGGGTCCAAACAGGCTGTCTTAACCCATTAATGTCCATATCTGAGGTTTTTATGTATTCTGAGCACAAATGTATAGAAATTTTATACATTGACCAAACTATTACAGCCAAAAAAGTGAGTTTTTATCACTTATTTTACCAATTAATTCATTTTTTGCTCACAATGGGCTGCTGTTTTTTAACAAAGCAATAGGAAATCCTAATTTGATTGTGAATATTGGTAATAAAAAGGCAGAATTAAAAAAAAAAAGGCCAATGGTTGCATATACTAGGCATACTTATAAAATATAGCTATGCAAATTTTCCCTCATCTTGTGAAATCAAGCTGCTGGACATGAATTTGTTCAAAAAGTTTAAGAACTTTTTAAAGCTTTATTTGTTAAGAGACTGTGAGACAGACTATTGCTGTTCTAACTTATTGTTTGAGGTTCATTTCATTCCAAATTTAATTTCATTCAGGTTAGTTTTTCAGGCTAAAACCACACATTCTGTCCACAGTGGTCCTGCGGATGTGGTTTGAGGGGTTTTGAGAGTCTAGAGAAAATTCTGCATAAGAATACGTTCTTTAAAAAGTCATCCAGTTTTCCTTGTGATGAAGTCTTGTAACAAAAAAATCTAAGAACATGTTTTCTCTTCTCCTGTAAAGCTGCCATTTCAGACATACAAGGTTTCGGTTTGGCAGTGACCACAGGCTCCTGGGCCAAATGGATTATCAGCCTGTTTGAATGAACATGCTGTTACTGTGTCCGATCCAGAGCGACTTTAGCTCTTAATACTCATAACCCGAGGGAAGCATTGCCATTTGATGTATGACGTACCCTCATAAAAATAAAGGGGCCTTAGCGCTCCTCAGTCTTGGGCGTATAGTTCTAGGAAAAACCTTTAACTGGTATAGATCCTTTACTTTATGTGGAGGTTCTCTAACCCTTAGAAGGTAATTATGTGATTACATAATCAATTTTTTGGTTATGCAGTTATATACGTTCTGTATGGATGGGTTTGAGTCAGCACTTCTGACTTGTTTTAGTTGTTTTGGTATCAAAAATGACAAAAAATACAAAAATGTAAAGGATGTTTTGTCTTTCTGTGGAGACAACAATACTTTCCATGAAATTCAAATTATAATAAATCACAATTTCTACACGTTTCAATGATCTGCAGGTCAGAAATAATTCACATAAAATGAAAAGCTTGATTTTGTTATTGCAGGTGGTGAAGAGTTAAGAATAAAGGCTCCTAAAAGGTTTGTAGCTTCTAGTAAAACCTTTATTTGGTATAGAATCTTTATGTGGAGGTTCTCTAACCCTTAGAAGGCAATTATGGGTTTACATAATCAATTTTTGGTTATGGAGTTATATACGTACTGTATGGACAGGTTTGAGCCAACACTTCTGATTTGTTAGAGCTTTTTTGGTATCAAAAATGTCAAAAAATACAAAAATGTAAAGGATGTTTTGTCTTTTTATACATATAACAATACTTTCTGTCAAATTCAAATCATAATAAATCACAATTTTTACGTTTCAATGAACTGCGGCTCAGAAATCATATAAAATAAAAAGCTTGATTTTGTTATCGCAGGTGGTAAAAGTTAAAAATAAACGCCCTTAAATGGTTCATGGCTTCTATGAAAACCTTTATTTGGTACAGAACCTTTATGTGGAGGTTCTCTAACCTTTAGAACGCAGTTATGGGTTTACATAATCAATTTCTCATTATGCAATTATATATGTTCTGTATGGACAGGCTCGAGCCAGCACTTTTGATTTGTTTTAGTTGTTTTGGTATTAAAAATGACAAAAAATACAAAAATGTAGTGGATGTTTTGTCTTTCTGTACACACAACAATACTCTCCATGAAATTCAAATCATAATAAATAAGAATTTCTACACGTTTCAGTGAACTGCGGGTCAGAAATAATTCATACAAAAATAAAAAGCTTGATTTTGTCTTTGCAGGTTTCTAAGAGTTAAAAATAAAGGCGCTAAAATGGATCACGTCTTCTAGGAGCATCTTTATTTACTATAGAAG